TTTCAAGAATTCTAGGAGATTTTTATGTCTACACTGTGTTTAACTCATAGCTTCATAGTTTTGGTAGCTCTGTGGTTAAAGAGTCCAGGCTGTAAAATAACTACTTTTTGAAATTTTTGAAGCTTTTGCTGTAGCCCAGTATGTGATCACTTCAGTAGCTACCACTTCAGTACCTGTCTTGTGTGCACGTGAGAAGCTGGGCTTTCCTCATAGCATTCTACATACATCATATCTACCAATTTAGCCTTGTTTAATTTGTTGTTCAAGTTATCTATCCCTCCTTATAGGTTTAGTTTTTGATATCTTTTGTCTTTTAGGAAAAATAGTGGCAGGTTAAAGACTTGTAACCATAATAATTCTATTTCTCTTCCTTTTTCCTAGTATACTTTATATTGATGTTCTTTTAATGCTGTTTCTATTTTTTCCTCATTCTGTATGATGAGTCTTCTTTGCCGTGAACTGTCCTTTAGTTGATTTAGTATTGCCACCATTTGCTGTCATTTCGTTTGCATTTTTTTGTTATACCTTTATAATCCTTTCCCTTTTTATGAATGTTTTTGCTTATTTTTCCCCTCAATGTGTAAATGTCTGGATGATGATGATGCAGGAGGATCAGAGAGGAAGAGCCAGATGTGAGTGGCAGAGCAGAAGGTGACCCTGTTGGCTGAGCAGATTCTGATCAGGAGGGGGCTGACCAGGGATGAAGCTGGGCTTCTAGCATGGGGGGGTTGGGAGCAGAGTGCAGCCCTTGGAACGGGACATCTCATGTTACCTAAGAGATAATGAATGAGCCCTGAGATGGGCTGAATTTTGGAGAGAACTATCTGTCTGCTCCCTTGCCCACAGGTGACCCTGTCTTCAAATGTAAGGCTGGGGACGCAGTCATAATGATGGGGCTCCCCACAGAATTATGCCAACCCCTGAATTTAGGGGTTTAGCTCTTCGTTCACTGCTTTTGTGGCCTTGACAGCACAGCTAAGTTCTTTGTATCTCAGTTTTTCTGTAAATCAAGAATACTGAGATTTATTTAAAAATAGTTCTACTGGGCTGTTAAAGAGTGTGCAAGGGATAAACAATTTCTAAATGCTTGAGGGTCTTTTGAGCACTTTCAGACAAAAGAAGACATTGTGATTTTAAAGTGGTATTATTTTAGAATGAAAGTTCTGCCTGAAATGTGTCTGATGAAGAATTAAATGATTTTCAAAAACTAGAATGTGTGCTCTCATCTTGGCAAAGAAATGCCATTTCCCACTGATTTGTTTGAGCGTTTTCTCCATAAGCCTTGCTTCTTCCAGTCCACTGTGCTTGGCATGGTAACCGGGGACTTCTGCTGTCAGGGATGGGATGTTCCTGGCTGTTTCTCCAGCTCTACCGACCTGCAGCTTAGCTCCTTACATTTCCCTGGCAGAGTATGCGACACGTACATTTAAGTGGTAGGATTTGGGGAAAGCGCATCATAGGCAAGGCTGAAGAGAAGGAGAATCAGCTGGGTTGCAAGCTTTTAACTGAAGTTCAGTTGGAGGATCAATGAGGTGAGACTGTTAGGACAGCTTTCAGAACGTAATGATGGGAAAACGAGGTGAGTTCATCAAAGTCGGAGTAAATACCTGAAGTTCAGTTGGAGGATCAATGAGGTGAGACTGTTATGACAGCTTTCAGAACGTAATGATGGGAAAACGAGGTGAGTTCATCAAAGTCGGAGTAAATACGGAGCAACAGCTCAGCAGCGCAGCATGAAACACCAGCTATAAACTCTCACAAAACACAGCGTAATTAAAATTTACGTTGTGCAGCCCTCCTTCTCAGTGGGTACCTTTCTGAGGAAAGCAATAACTTCATTGTGAAAAATATAAACACAAATTTGAAGATGTGAATTGCATGCTTATTTTAATCTTATTTGTAAACATGGAAAGTATTCAAAATGTAAATATAATCAGAGCACACAACTGTAGCTGAAACCAGATTTGAGAAAGACCTCAAGAAGGTGAAAGACCCTCCATCCAGTCCCACCCAACCCTGTGACCCTGCCTATCCCTTCCGTATACTTGTAAAAGACGAGGTGGAAACCGTCCTCCAATTTCTGAGGATACAAATCCTCATCTGTTATTTCTAATGTCGCAGAAGGAATAGTAGTTCTGACCTTTTCTCTCTACTTCCTCTCCCATCTACTTTCCCTTTGGTCTTCGCATGCCATGTTGGAGGCCAGTGAGTGAGAAACAGTGACTAAATGTTGGGTAGTTTGCAGCGTGGAAAGGAGGAGGAAATTTACCCAAACACTATCTGAATTCTTTTATTTCCCTACTTTAGGAAATGGGGTGGGAGTGTTTAAGATGTATGCTGCCAGCTGAAGCTTTGGGGAAAAGAGGAGGGAAGAGTCTAGGAAAGGGTGTGGAATATACTAAAATCATTTGGGCCTCCTGATCCAACACTGTTATTCAACACTTTTTCTTGATTTATAAGGACAGACATGTATGTTGTGTCCATGATTATTAGTAACAGTGACTGTGCCTCACACATTTTGTTTTTGATCTTTTAATGATGAGAGTAGAAAGGAGCAAAAAGATAATATTCCTATTTCTAAAACTTACCAAACAATCCATAAGGAAATAAACTTCACCTCAAAGTTTCCAAACTATTGGATCAAAGACCTCAACATAAGAGCTAAAACTAAAACTCTTGAAAGAAAACATAAGGGTAAATCTTTATGACTAGGATTTGGCAATTGTTTCTCAGATACGACACCAAAAATGCAAGCAATAGAAGAAAAAATATAGATGAATTGGACTTCCTCAAAATTAAAATTTTGCGCATCTATGAACACTATCAAAATAGTAAAAATACAGCCCACGGAATGGGAGAAAATGTTTGCAAATTATATATCTAATAAGGGTCTAATGTCACAAATATGTAAAGAACTCTTATAACAAAATAATAAAAAGACAACTCAATTGGGAAATGGGCAAAGAATTTGAATAGACATTTCTCCAAATTAAATAAACAAATGACAAACAAGCACATGAAAAGATGTTTAACATTAGTCATTAGAAAATGCAGATCAAAACCACAGTGAGATACCATTTCACACTCACTAGTACAGCTATTATAAAAATAAATAAAATAAAATAAATATTGGCTGGGAGGTGGAGAAATTAGAACCCTCATACGTTGATGGTCAGAAAGTGGAATAGTACAGCCACTGTGGGAACAGTGTGACAGTTCCTCAAAAACTTAAATAATAGAATTGCCATATCACCCAGCAATTCTACTCCTGGTTGTATACCCAAAAGAGTTGAAAACAGGTGTTCAAACAAAAACTTGTCCGTGAATGTTCATAGAAACACCATCACAGTAGTCAAAGTGGAAACCACTAAAGTGCGCATCGTCTGATGAATTTATCCATTCAATGGAACTTTCAGCCACAAAAAGGAATAAAGTGCTGATACCTGCTACAACATGGATGAACACTGAAAACATAATGCTAAGTGAAAGTAGTCAGACACGAAATAGCACATACTGTATGATTTCATTTATGTGAAATGTCCAGAACAGGAAAATTAAGAGACAGAAGGCGGGTGAGTTTCCAGGGGCTGTGGGTAAGGAGGAATAAGGAGTGACTGCTCATTGGGTATAGGGTCTCCATTTGGAGTGATGAAAAAGTTCTAGAACTGGATAGCTATGGTGGTTGCATGACATTGTTAATGTACTTAATGCCAGTGAATTGTACACTTTAAAATGGTAAGTGTTATTTGTACTTTACCACGTTCCTCAGAACTGGAGGAGGTAAATTCATTCACTTCTTCACACACCTGCCACTCAGGTATTTATTGCACATGCTCCATACCGCGTGCAGCACCATGCTGAGAGACACAGAGCCCCTGAACTCATGAAGTGTTTGTTCTAGAGGAGGAGATTTTACTGCAGCATTAGGTATTGACTTACAGTTGTGGGGAAGGCTACAAAGACGAAGTGAATGCTGCTGAGGAAGAGGGCTCCAGGGTCAGGGATGGCTGCTCTGTCGAAGCTGTGGCTGAGCTGCCACCTGAAGGGTGACTTGGAATTAACTAGGAAAACTGGGAACGGGGCAGGTAGCATTCCTGGTGGAGAGAGAACAGCGAGGAAGAAGGGAGAGTGGGCTTGGAAGACAGAACACGAAGCAGTCCTCGCTCTAGGTTGCTACGCTGAGTGTGGTCAACAGCCGTGATTTATGAGACCGAAGGGAGTGATCGCCTGAGACCACAGAGAGGCACTTCCACCTGCACGTGCTGCTTTTGGATCCCCACCAAATGATGTCCTACACTCTGGGCTGTGTAACCAGCAGTAACCAGACAAAATCTCTGGATCTTAATGTGCTCCCCAGAGTCAGCTGTGACCTGAGGCCACCATTTCTCAGAGCCCTTAACATCTTCACAGCATAGGGCAGCGTGAGTTACGGAACAAGTGGCTCTGGAGTGTGACACCCAGCATGCCACGCCAACATCCAGAGCATGCTTCTCCTTTTGGTCTTTCAATTTCCAGCCCGTCAAACCAGTAAATCTAGGCTTTGAGGACTGTGGAACTACCAGATTCTACTTAAGCTATAGCAACCACTGTACTTGTCAGGCCCATAGCACATATTTACTGGGTAAACTGGACCCACTTTTACAGCAGAGGTCATGGTTTCCATACTTCCATGGATCCCAAGGTGAACAGATTTTATACCTGCAGGTCATGTTCTGTACACCTAGGAGCCTGCCCCACTCAGAGTTGGTGAGGTTGGAGGGCGCAGAGCTGAAGTTCTGGTGCAGGCGTGTGTGGCATTCCAGGCCAGGGAAGGGGTAGAAGCAGTAGCCAGAACGGGACAGCTATCTAGGGAAGGAGCGTGTCGGTACGTTCCAGTCTGGGCCCTATTAAGTCTAAACGCTATTAAGTGTTTTTCCACTAATTTGGAAGCTTGCATGTTATCTTCTCTTTGTGACCATAAATCTATACCATCAGGATTAATTTTCTTCCTTTGCTTTCAGGAGAGTAGATCTGCAGAAAGCAACAGCTGTGTTGAAGAAATAATTCGGGTAAGGATATTCTTTTAAAAATCTTATCAACATGTTGGGCATAGATTCCAAATAGAAAGGAAACATGGGACCACATTATCAAAGGGAGCCCACCGTTTGTTTGTTGTCTGACATTTGCCTTTTCCAAGGGTAATCATGTAAGTTGCCTAAATGACACTTCATGAAACAGTGCTTCTTTCAGAGATGTGAGAGCCACGCGTCATCTGGGTGCCTTTCACAGGCTGAGGTGACACTGTGTTAAAGTGAACTGGAAGACAACAGAATTTAGATGGAAACTACGGTTGTGCTCATGTGTGGATACCCCATTTATCACCTTAGCATATAAAAAACATCATTTAGTGGTGTGTACTTTTTGAGTCAGGCAGGGTTGCACTGTCATTTTTCTCTTAATCTTAATTAGAATCAGAAGCAATTGACAAAGAGGTAGTGCTCAGAGTCTGAAAATGTATTTGTATATTGTTTTACATGTCATTATTTTCCGTGTTACTGTCTGTATGCCTGTCCTTTTTGGTACCGTCGTCTCTAGTGTGGATTCCCTCCATGAACCAGTTTTACACCCAGATCAACTTGGGTTGGGCTGTTCTGCTGTCATAGTGTTTTCCTGCATATTCAAACTTATAATCAGGATGTTGTTGTCAACCTATATTTTTTCTTTGCTCAAATTTTTTCAGGGGAGTAACCTAATAATTTATAGTTCTCAGAAAGCTGATATTACATTGGGCAAAACACCAAGACACATTAGGCCAAATGGTATGACAATTTGCTGTAAAGGGGAAAAAAAAGCAACCTTATTTTAATACGTTCCTAACTTTTGGATATCCTACACACTTTTTCTTGAATTGCTAGTGAATTACAGTAATATAATTAGTTGGTTTAAAATGTTACATTAACTGTTTCCTAAAGCAGAGTTTTTTCTTTCTATAAAGCATTATCTTATAAATAAATCTTTTAATTCTCAAGTTAACCAGAACAATTAACTAAAGTTTGGTTTGTTGAATTCATAATGATTTTTTTCTGGCAGGGATTTACATAAAAAACTATTATCAAAGCAGACAGCTTCATTTCTGGTATTTAAGTATATGTTAAATAAAATACATTCTGTATTTTATATCTATATTACCTCTATTCTGGGGCTTTGTTTCAGATTAAACAACAGGTAGTGTAAGATGCTGATATAACTTTTTCTATTTTTCTCTTTTAACACACTTTTGTGTTTGGGGGTCCAAATATTCCATTTTTAAGCCATCTTCCTTTGATTGGTCATGGTGTTTATATCTGCAAAATGGTAATACGAGAACACACTATTCCTCTCCTTAGTTTGTGTAACTAGAAAAATTCTACCCCCCTCATCCTCCCTTAGCCTTTCTGAAGATATGGAAGAAATCTGTCCTTTGACCTCTCCCTTTTCATTCTTAAAGTCTGAGTAAAGACTTGAGTTATTCTCACACCAAAAGGATAAAGCTTAGGTAAAGTAAAATCCAATTAAAATAAAACTGAATGCCACAGTCAAGAGTTTAAAGGTTATTATTTTTTTCTGAAGATTGTGGATGAGAACCTCATACCCCTCACCCCATTCCTACCTTCCCACAATATTGACCACTAATATCTCCCAGCATTGGCGCTGCCCCTGCCGTGACCCTCCTGAAATCAGGCATGGAACAAAGGGGAAACACGGACCCACCGGGTAATTGACTTGTGTGCATGTGCAAGGCTGCAGTTTCTAACGCGCATGCCAGTGGGCGGTGGGATTATGACTGTATTCAAAGACACTCAAGGACTGTATTCAAAGACAATCCACTCTTCCTAGAACCCTTGAAGAGTAGGCCAGGATGGGAGGTGTATAGACTTGCTGGTTGTGCCAGAAGGATCCAGGTGAGCCTTTATCTTTCTTCCCACCTGTCAGCCTAAGGTGTTAGTAGCAGTAGTTGGTATTAGGGGAGCTCCTAGAGGATCGTGTCAGTGTTGTTAGTTTTGCCTGGAATGTTTTTCTGGCGTCCTCTGCCTCACCCACACCAGTCATTCTCCAAAGTGATCTTCCCTCTCACAGCACATGCACAGGGCTCCTTCTCAGATACAGCCCCTCACATCTGTTGTATATCTGCCACATGCCAGCATTCCTCCCAGACTGTGGGCCCAGTGTCTGGAACTTAGAATTCACAATCTTGTTGTCGAATGAATACATAAATCAGTGAGTGAGTGAGCTAGTGAGAGTCCTCTAAAAGAAAACGAGGCTATCATTGTGATGGCTCACAAACAAATTCCATTTTCTATACATCATGGACATAATGTATTGGTCTTTTTGGTGCCAGGTTTCCTTGGGTAGTCTCTGTGGAGCCCACTTTTCCTTATCAGTTTCTCTGCCCTGTGACCAGCTCAGGTAAGCCCAAAGTGGTCAAGGTCACCAGGAATGCTTGTTACTTGCAGCCATTGTGTTTAACTGATGGCTCTCTCATGTTGTAGAGGCAGAGAAAAGTCATGAAAAATGCCTTAAAGTGATGAAACTTGGGGTACTCGTGCCCTTCCATGTGGAAGGCACCAGGAGAGCAATGGTAGGCCAAGCGGACATAGCCCCCTTGTCCTCTTGGAACTGACAGTCTGCTGGAAGAGGTAGATCCTATTTTTTTAAGAAAAGAAATGTATAATGTTAACTGTGACAAATACTCAGGGTTTTATGAGAGCTTACAGTAGGGTACATGACCGGATTTGGGGTCAAGAACAGCTTCCCTGAGGAAGTAACATTCGAACTGATAGTTGGAGGAAGAATAAGAAATCAACCTGCGGAGGGGAATGGCGAGAGTTCCAAGCAGAGGAAATGGAAGAGCTTGGCTCGTGAGAGGCCCTGAAAGGACAGGGAAGGCCATGGTGGATAGAGAGCAGGTGGATAAAGCTAGGCAGGAGGGTCAGAGGAGCCCGATGCCTTCTTAGCCATGTTCAGATCCTGTGAGATGGGAGCCAGTGAAGCATTTGAGCAGAGTGGTGTGATCCTGTTGGCAATGGAGATGCACTGCCCTGGCTGCCGTGGAGAGTGGATTGAGGGGGAGAGGAAGCAAGACGGGATGGGAGGCGCTTGCTGGTGCACTCACGGACATGGGAACATTAGGAGAGATCCTGGTTTGGGGTTAGGGAGGAAATCATAAACTCGTTAGACATGCTGAGTCTCAAGTGCCTTTGAGACATTTAAGTAGACATGGAGAACATAGATGAACATACGTGAGTCCGGAGCTCAGAGCAGAGGTCTGAGCTGCAGGCCAACATTATGGATTCATTAGCCTGTCATTAGTAATACAATCATAGAAATAGGTAAAAATTTTTGGAGAGAAACTAGGGACCCAGAAACAATGAGAGCCTAAATTGGGACATTTAAAGGCCAAGGAAAGGAAGAACCACTGGCAGATAGAAGTGAGAGGGAGTGACCAGAGAAGCTGAGGGAAAATTATGACAGTGAAAAGTAATAGAATCCAAGGAAAGAGAGCTTTAAGCACAACAGTGTTCAGAGAACACAAGAAAGATGAGGATCTCAAGCCACCCAATGGGTTGGACAACAGAAAGGCTGCTGATAAGCTTCTTGAGTACTGTGTTTGTGGAGCAGAGGGGCAGAATCTACACTAGAGAAAACTGAGGAAATGGAGTCAGGTTGGAGTTTGGAGACCTCTCGTGAGGAAAGGCCATAGTTTCCATTCAGCTGCCTTTTCAATTGCCATATATCTGTCTCAATAACAACTTCCAAGCGATGAAGAGCTAACATGTACTGAGCACTCATTGTGTATGAAGCACTATTGCAGGCTCCTTGCATTTGTTAATTCATTTACCCATCGCAGCTGCCCCATAAGGTGGGCGCTGTTGACATCCCCATTGTGCAGATGAAGAAGCCAAGGTCAGGATAAGTTCATTACAAGTTGCCCAGGTCACACGCTGTAAGTGGTAGAGCTGAGATCTTAGTGAGGACCTCTGGCACCAGCACCCTCTCTCTCAACCTCTGTGTCGTCCGACTGTGTGAAGACGTCCCCTGGGTCCACTAATGAACCCACTCACTCAGGCGTTTTGCTGAGAAAGGAGGTTTCCCGTTTCCTCATTTATGATCTGAAAGTGCCAGATCACGCATTTGTGCACTTAAACTTGCACAGGTTTTATGGCCAACAATATCAGACCCATCTTCCTCTCCCCTCTTATTTTTGCTGAGATGACTGTTTTCAAGTCATTTGAATATTATATTGTGTTCTAAAGTGCACTTATTTTTTATTCTTACTTAGAGAATTTTAACCCTGGGGCCTAATAAATCTGTGTGTTATTGCAAGACTTTCTTAACCAAGGGAGATACTATAATTCTGTCAAACCGGGCAGTAAGGACAAGGAGTCCTCATGGCTGACATATGTTTGTAACAAGCAGTTTTCTAAGTTACACTGTATTTTATCCTTAAAGACTCCCATGCTGTAACACTTAGGTGCTTTTTGTAGCATTATCCATTTACAGCTTAGAATGGCATTAACATTTGCTCAGCAAATAAAATCCATTTACAACTTAATGGGGAAGAGGCAGTTCGGGGCTAGACTCTAAGATGCACAGGTTTTATGCAAGACATCTGTAGATGCATTTGTTGAGGGCACTTCTCATAGCATAGAGCACCTTGTAATAAGAGACCGTTTTTTGAGATTCTGGTTTGGAGTTAAGGAATGAATTTAGAGACAATTTCATTGCAGCATCTGAGTGGATTACCTTCTTGGCTCTCATCTTTAGTCACTAATTTAATCCCAATGTGCTGTGAAATATTCATAGTGAATATTTACACAGAAGTGCATTTCTTTTATATAAAGGGGGTATGTGGTACTTAGTTTAAATTCTAGAGACCCAAAAAGGTTTCCTGACACTGTAATGGGACAGACTTCAGGATATAAAGGGAACTTCTTTTTTTCCCTATTTTTCCAAAAACTAAGGAGCCTCCTGGATAGGATGATTTCCAGTCATAGTACTGGGAGAGTTGTGAGTTGAGAGCACCAGCATC